CACGCTGGCGGGCCGGCGGGGAAGGGCGGCCGCTGTAGGAGCCACTGGGTCCGGACGGGGCGGCCTGCAGCCACGCTGGCGCGCAGGCGGGGCACCGCGGCCGCGGCCGCTGCAGGAGACACTGGGTCCGGACAGGGCGGCCTGCAGCCATGATGCGACACATCCGCAGCAGCCGAGAAAGTGATGTGTCTACAAGTGCAATCGTATTTTTGGTGCACGACTTCGCAGATCTTTCTACTGCATTTCAGCTTGACACCATGACTAGCAAAACAACCTTTCCTCGATTGGAGAAGTTACCAGCTTCGCAGCAATAGTTGGGCGCATTCAGTTGCCTGAGTATGTGATCTGTGGCACAAGCCGGCAGACTCGTCGCAGTGTCTCATTACATGCGAGTTACAGCACAGCAAATCTGCTACGGGAAATGCGCCGCTTCGGAGTGTCTCATACTCAAACCGGAGTGTTCCGTTGTTCTCCAGTACACGCGGGCAAGACACGAGACAGACCAGACTGACCAAGCAGGCTAGTCAGGACGGCGGATTGCACGACGGCAGGTCGAGCACCGAGATGGGCAGGACACGTCCTCGTTTTTGAGCCGCCGCCTGGGAAGCTCGTCGCCGACACCACACGTCTTCCTAACCGCAAACTTCAGCCCCTCGCCGGCTCCCCACTCTGCACTGCGGGGATGTGCGGAGCGTCTGCATGCCCCCGCGTTTGTCGCCTCTGCTCCGCCGGTGATATGTGCAGAGAACGCGCCCGGTTCAGGGCCGCGGTCGGGGCGCAGTGGGCGGTCGCCAGCACAGCGGCCGACGCCTCACTGCCCGGAACGGCGGTGTCAGGTGCGCCGCCGCCGAACCAACCAATCAGCGCGGCGCGGCGCCGCTGGCTGCGACCATGACGTCACGCCATCCGACGCTGGTCGGCGCACCTGCCGTAACCGAAGAATGCGTTGCTTGGGGCTATTCGTGCGCTGTGCACTGGCGAGAAGAAAAGGTGTTTTCTGGCGTCGCAGCAGTGTCAGGAATGGGCACACTGGCGTTGCCCCTGGAGTTCCCACTTTCAGTTTCTTTCCACCCGAGCGTGGAATTTACTTGCGTTTTTGCGGCTCCATGCAACGTTGTCGTTACTCGATCACGGTGACGATTATTGATTATTGATTTTGTGGTCCAGTCTCAAAAGCATTCAGTTCTGAAACAGCAACTCAAGTTTCTAACCTGGCCAGCAATCATTTCCAGGAAAGAACCACTGCTCCGGATATTAATGACAGTGAACACAATGTGTTGAATGCGTTTATCCTACCTTAATACATGTTACGGCGAACAAGAATACGCATCGATTGTCTTCGCACTTAACGCGTGTCTCCTTTGATTCGGCCTTCATCGTGTTTTCTCGTTCTACGGACAGTCTTTTATTTCGAGCGGTCAGAAATGTCTACCACAATTTGCTACATCGTATGATTTAATTCCGGGCCGTAAGAAAACCAAAGTTTGCTTCTCGCAGTCCTGGACACCTGTCAAGTGTGCGTAACACTAGATTTGCGTTGCTAAACGGTGCTTCAGAGCTTTAAACACGCTGCTCGTCTCTCGCTCTCTTCAGGGAATCATTGTCAACTATTTTTGGCTCTAACTGGCTGATACCAGTATAGGGCAGATAATTCACCACAGACGCTCAGCCTGGAAATCCGGTCCGGACGGGCCTGCTTCCTAGACAGGTTCCTGAGCCATAAGAAGACTCCAGGGTCCCATTACAGAGTCTCATTGATACTGGATCCCTATGGGATTCTGGATCCATCCTTGGGATCCACCGTATGCCTGCAGACTACTTCGACTTATTTGTGCCACTACGCTCCTGTGCATCGCCTCGTTGCGTCTCCTGCCGAGGTCACGCGGTCGTCTCACTGCACGCTTCCCTGGAGGGCTTCCTCAGTACAGCGAACACCGTGAGCCGCTGGGGCATCATCGGCTGCCGAACCTGGGCGCCTCACCAGCTGGGCCGCGGTGCCACGCGGCAGGACCCTACAACCCCCCCCCCCTCCCCCCCCTCTCCCTGTCCTGACGACTGATCTTCGGTCAGCCGCCTCCCCCCATGTCCAGTCACTTACATGAGCACACGTGATGCCACGGTCGGATTGTTCATCACTGGCTGTCCATTGGAGTCAGTCGCCTAAGCGCTCTGAAATGTCTTGGTGGATGCCAAGCATTCATTCCGTCCGTGCTAGGTAGCTGCGCTTATCAGCTCCTGAAAATGTAAACGCCGTTTGACATCCCTTAATGCTAAGATGGACCGACGGGCCACTAACCACAATACCACACTTCCGAACCGGGCTCTTACCTCACCATTGCCACTGGCCCGTTGTAAAGGAACCATTGTCGCCGGTCATTTTGTTGGTCGTAAGTACGTCTAATTTCACGCCACAATGTACCCTGCAAAAGGCAAAAAAAGCTCCGTTGTCGGCAGAATAGATCCGAGCAGTCTTGTGGGTGTCACGTAATCTCATGCGTTTGGTGTCATTACCCTCGCCGTCCGACCTGATCTAGAACGTTGGAAAATGTATGAAATATGACAACAACAGTGATTAGGAAGCTTTACATTTCGTCTTTGACTGCGTATGAACCTTGAAAAGCCTGGAAATCAAATAAAATGAATTAATTATATTTCAAAGTTACCATGCTGTTCCGACCCACGAATTATTGACATGAATGCCCAATCGCGGTAATTTGCTCTGGAACAGTCTGTGTCGAAGGCTGAGCACACAATCGTGCCTAAAACCCGCTGACATTGTGCTTTCGCCAGCGAGTTAAAGGGCTCCACGACGCCATGACACATCATAGGCTGTAAAGCGGGTTGCGCCATTCCCCTCTGTTGGAGGCCTAGACTGTAGAAGCAGAAAACATTCGCAGCAACCCGAGCATCTCAAGAAGTTATACGTCGTGTCACTGAGAGCCTTACCTGCAATCTTGATTTGTTGCTGGATATTTTAGAAAGCGTGATGCATTGCACAAGGCATTCTGCATCGCCTAAGGCATTGGCACTGTACCACCGGCACTCACCACTCCAGCTGGCATTGCAATGTGTCGCAATGCCATTGTATTCATTGTTGCATAGCACATGCCCAGTTGGATCCAAACACTTGTATCGTTATGCCTGACCACCCGAGTCATTTTATCTATGTCTATCTATCTAGCTATCTATTTATCTATACTCATCTATCTATCTATCTATCTATCTATCTATCTATCTATCTATCTATCTATTCATCTATCTATGTATCTGTTTAACTATTTATCTATATATGTATCTATCTATCGAAGTATGTATGTATGTATGTATCTATACATATATATATATATATATATATATATATATATATATATATATATATATCCTCTCTCTCTCTCTCCCTCTCTCTCTCTCTGTCTCCCTCCCTCCCTCCCTCCCCCCCCCCTCCCCCTCCTCCCTCTCCCTCTCCCTCTCCCTCTCCCTCTCCCTCTCCCTCTCCCTCTCCCTCTCCCTCTCCCTCTCCCTCTTCCTCTCCTCCATCTCTATCTCTCTCTCCCTCTCTCTCTATACATCCTCCCAAGGCGCGCCACACCATCGCCGGACATATGTCCCGGTAACAAGCGGGGCTTTTGCAATATGTTACGGGGGAAATGACACTCGTTCACTTCTCCCTTCCCCTCCAACACTGCCAACTCCTACACTGGCCATACACCCCCGTTCAAGCTTTGTCATCTATCGTAGCCAATTTGCTACATCTTGTTTCTGTTTTCGTTCGCATCCGAGTGCAAGACTAAAGTGTATTGAAGCGGAGAGAAAATCGGATTGTGGATGTAGATTAGATGAAACTATATCTAGGATCAGTCACATCAATGAGATTCCTCACCCTCGTTCACATTCCTTTAAAAACTCCTGGTGACAAACGCAGGCCGTCCTGCGCCAAGATCCGGCTGGCCGCTTGCAGCGATGTTGACCTTGGTCACGCCAAGGACAGCGGTGCGAGCGTGCGGCCGCAATGCGTGGTAGCAGACGCTCCTGGGCTGAGTATGGCGGTGCGGTTTGTGGGGAGCATTTGTCGGGCTGAGGGTTCGATCTTGGCTGGAAACTCTTTGTGTGAAATGTGAATGTTTGTGCGATTGGCAGTGCGTTGCTCGTACTTCACAACACGGGACCTGAGTGCAAGCCTCGTGCTATGCACAGGCCAGTCGGCTTTCAAGAAACGGATGTGGCTTTAAAAGTTACGCTAAAGGCAAGCCTTAGTCTGAGGGCAGCGGAGACAATACCGAATCATCCACGGGGCATCCTATGGCGTCCACCCATTTTTCGTAATGTGCTCTTCATCGGGCAGTCTCGCAACGAACCTTTTATGGGGGCGAGCTGCATGCGCCAGTCAGGGCGGGACTAAGTGACCCTCTAGCCTAGGGCCATAGTGAAGGGTGAACTTGGCTTCTGCTCCCAGGCACCCTGTGCCCTCCTAAGTACCTTCTACCTAGGACTAGGATACCTTTGTCTTCTCTTCCCAGCCACCCAGCTTCAAATCATGTGCTGCCTTAAAGCCCGGCTCCCACAAGGTTTTCGGCCCGGAGAACCGGGCAGATCGACCAGGACGGAAAAAGTTGAAATTGCTGCCAGAATGCGCAGAAAGTATCTAAATCTGGTAAACCGGAATTTCTTCATGGAACGGGTATGGAGCGGAAAGAGCAACGGACCAAGGTCGGACCACTCCCCACGAAGATTAATTGTGCGTTCTTGGTCGCTGAACCGAAATGAGGCAATGATCCAGCTATTTTAAAGCTGTTTTTGCCTTCCTGCTCTGTGCATTCGTTGTTATCCTCGCTCTGCTCATACGCAAAGCTCTGTTGGCCCACTGCATTGGCAATAAGCACGCCGTTTTGGCGAGCGATTTGAAGATGAGTATGCATGTTTAGAAAGTTATGCTGAGGTGTGGGGGGTAGTGTGTGCTTTCGTGAGCTTTCAACAGTCGTCGTGCGTCTGTTGCAGGGAGCATGACCACCACCATGCACCTCTGGCCTGTCTGGTTCTGGTCGGCCCAGTTCGGCGGCGGGAGCCAGCGGTAACCGTCCTGCCCTGCTTCACCATCGCGCTTTACCAGCGCGGTGGGCCCACTGAGCTGGCTTAATTGTTGCGCCCCACCGACTCTAGCTGACTGCCTCCCCCGCCGCCGCCGCCATCTACCCCGCCGGCTGCTGTCCGTGTCCTCCGTGATGGTGCGGCGGCTGTAGACTGCTGCTGCCGCTGCTGCCCCGGACTTGGTGTGCGGCGGCCGAAGGGCCTACGAGGTGCGCCGGTGCCTGCTGCGCGACCACTCCAATACGCTGCAGGTGCAGCTCGACTCGAAGTGCACCCGGCGTCTGCGTACGCCTCGGCCGGCGAGCCGTCGCTGCCCAGTGTGTTCTATCGTTCTTCGAGTGCCTATTGGTGCCGTGCGTTCATTGTCGCTGCTGTGCCCAGTGCCGCACATTCATTGTCGCTGTTGTGCCCAGTGCCGCACATTCATTGTCGCTGTTGTGCCCAGTGCCGCACATTCATTGTCGCTGTTGTGCCCAGTGCCGCACATTCATTGTCGCTGTTGTGCCCAGTGCCGCACATTCATTGTCGCTGTTGTGCCCAGTGCCGCACATTCATTGTCGCTGCTCTGTGTCACGACCGGAGTGGTGAAAGTGCTCGCACAGAACAGTATCTTGACGTGCGACGAGGACGGCCTGGTGGCTCATCGCGCCCGCCATCACGGGCTGTGACGTAGACGCCCATAGCCAATGGACTGCTGCATGAACGGCCATATGACTACCCATAATGAATGGGTAGCTGGCTGACCGTTCCTTGTCTTGTGATCCGTAAGCAATGGTGTTGGAATGTGCTCTAGGCAATTTGGTGCAATATTCTTTATGGCCTTGAATTATCAAGCAATTTAAGCGGACGCTTACACTCGCTGAGCTGTGTGGATCGACATACCAATAGATTAGACAAAAAGTTGGTATCTTAAACTGATGAGCGCATCAGTGGACACATGAGAGTCCTCTGCCGAGACTTAGCCCGCACAGGGACCTCTCCAAGTGGAGTTTGTGCTCGGCGTCCGGACAGGGCAGCAGCTAGAGGGTACTTAGTCCGCCCTGACTGGCGCATGCAGCTCGCCCCCATAAAAGGTTCGCTGCGAGACTGCCGGATGAAGAGCACATTACGAAAGATGGGTGGACGCCATGGGATGCCCCGTGGATTGATTTGGTATTGTCTCCGCTGCCCTCAGACTAAGGCTTGCCTTTAGCGTGAACTTTTAAAGCCACATCCGTTTCCTGAAAGCTGATGGCCTGTGCATGACGCGAGGCTTGCACTCAGGTCCCGTGTTGTGAAGTACGAGCAACGCACTGCCAATCGCACAAACATTCACATTTCACACAAAGAGTTTCCAGCCAGCCAGCCACCCACCAAAGAGTTCCAAGATCGACCCCGACCCCCACAACCGACAAATGCTCTCCACAAACTGCGTTGCCATACTCAGCCCAGGAGCGTCTGCTACCACGCAATGCGCCGCACGCTCGCACCGCTGTCCCCTGCGTGACCAAGGTCAACATCGCTGCAAGCGGCCAGCCGGATCTTGGCGCAGGACGGCCTGCGTTTGTCACCAGGAGTTTTTAAAGGAATGTGAACGAGGGTGAGGAATCTCATTGATATGACCGATCCTAAACATAAATTCACACAATCTACCTCCACGATCTGATTTTCTCGCCGATTCAGTCCACTTCAATCTTGCGCTCAGATACGAAATGACAAAAAAAATGTAGCAAATTGGCTGTGATGAATGCCAAGGTTTGAATGGGGATATATGACCAATTTAGGGTTGGGAATCGGAAGTTTTGGCGAGGTAGGCAGATGGACGAGTTGTTGGAGGGGGGTGGGGAGGGAGAGAGAGGAAGTAAACGAGTGCGGGTTGTAATTTCTTCCGTAACATATAACAAAGACCCCCACTTGTTACCGGGGATGTATGCCCGGTGGCTGTGTGGCACGCTTTGGGAGGAATATGTATATATATTATATATATATATATATATATATATATATATATATATATATATACATATTCCAACTGACATTCTGCTATCCAACACTGACTACAGTGGCATTGCGCCACGGTGTGGTGCCATTGCATTGGTGAGCGCTAGCGCTGCAATGCCAGTGCCTTGACGTTGTAGAGAGAGGCCTCTCTTAAGTATCCATCAACAAATCAGGACACTGCAAAGTCCCCCAATAACACGACGCATAACCTTCTGTGAGGTGCTCGGGTTGCACCAAATGCTTTCTGCTTTTACGGTCTAGGCATCCCACAGAGGGGAATGGCGCAACCCACTGTGCAATCTATGATGGGTCATGGCGTCGTGGAGCCCTTTAACTCGCTGGCGAGAGCATAATGTCAGCAGGCTTTAGGCACGCTTGTGTGCTCAGCCTTCGACACAGACTGTTCCAGAGCAAACTACCCCCGATTGGGCATTC